TTTAAAATTTTAAACATTTAATCCATTAAGTCACCTATAGAAATAACATCTTTATACAATCATAGAAAGATTTTATTGATTCAACTTAGTGACCTAATAATTAAGTTTCTTTTTTATGATTTTAACTTTTATAAATTTTGCAATCGTTCAAAATTAAATTTAAAAATAAAAAATTAAAGAATTTATGTAAGATAAATTTTAACAATAACAACTTAAAACTTCAATTTATTTAATAGTATTAAAATTATTTTTATTTTTTTCTCTAACAATTATAATATTATATTATAAAAACACCTAAAATTAAACGATAGAGTTGCAATATAAAAATAGAAAAGCACAACACAACCACACCGAGAGAAGCCTAAACAAATGCACACTTGATATTTTTATGGTACCGAACATTGTTGACCTTTCATGATTACGGGTGAACACTTATTATCTTTCACCATCATCAAGCGCCAGCAATTTAGGCGTTGCCATTCCTTACGAAACCTTCTTTCTATCTTCTTTCTCTTCCAATCTCAAAGTAGAGGAAGAAAACTTTTGATTTAAATTTGATATAAAAATCTGTATTCAGTATTATCAATTTCTCAGTGTCTAAGAATCTCTACTACTTGTAATTGAGGAATAGTTTGAGACCAAAGAATGTCATATGGTCAAAAAAAAAATGAAAATATATCAGAAAAAATGGAATTCATATCTTCCAAACTCTCACCAACATTTCATGCTTTGAATTACAGGCGAAGTTACCTCTTGCTATCACTAATGACCCTTAGTAGTCCTGCAAATATACATAAGAAGCAGTAGAAAGAAGCAGCTTCCATCTTTCTTATATTTCACCAGATGGCCATATATATATCAGAGTTCTCTTATCTGATCATCGCCATTCGAGATAGGAAAACAACTTCTTCACAAGGAATGGTGAGTCCCATTTTGTAGTTAAATCGAAACTCATCTTCAGCTCTTTGGAGTAAGCTTTGGAACTCAGGGTGAGCCAACCATGATATTGGAACTATGTATCTGCTCCTGTTCTTTCCAACATAGACAACAAAATGGCCTCTTGGCACATCATCAGGAAGTTCTTGCTCATACCCTTGTTTCTTCCCAAAACTTGAGCACTTTTTCAGAATCTGCTTGAAGGCTATTGGACTCTGAGGTAGTCTGTTTGATTTCTTGAAAGCCATTTTTTCTTGGAGTTGAGATTTCTCCGTGGGGGAAAGGATAGGGCAGAAACTATGACTTTACCAGGGAATTGTGGTGGGGAAAGATTGGATGGGTATGAGAGGTATTTATAGGAAGACGAAGAGGAGAGGGATTTATCATTTCATGCAAAACAAGTCGTGTGGGATGTTCTTTGAAGGCTATGCAAATAATATTCAAGTTTCAATCCTACTGGTGTGGGTCCATTTTTCTCAGTTTTTCCATCTCAAGTTTTCATCTCATTTTGTAAGGTTAGGAAAATTCTTAATGTACATGTTGTGGTTGTCATAGAACAGCATGCATTTGAATCATACACTTTAATAAAGCACAAATTACCCAAACACCAAATAAGGCAATAAACATGGCTAGACATCAGAAAAATACAGTCCAATGAGAGCACAGATATCACATTATATGTACATCCTGTCCCTAAAGGGTTTGGAGTTTGAACTTGAAGCTGGAACCTTAATTAGGTTGGTTCTACTTCTTGGTTATCCTATCTAAAGGAATCACTACTGGTCCATCCTCTTGACATCAATATCGATCTTTCTACCTTAGCTCAAGGGTGGTGAGAAAACTCACATGCTTGGGTAGGAGACTAGACCACAGAATGGTAGCTGGGTTTCATAAAAAAATTTACAGGACTACTGGACAATATACATGCGATGTGTTGCGGTTTATCAATTCTTATGGAAAGGACTTAAAGGAGGATTGCTGTTCCTTTCTTTGGCTAAAGGGTCCTCAAGGGACAGATTTCTGGCAGCTTTATGGACCACCGGGGGACCAGGTTTTAACACTATTAAGACAAGGATTTAATTAGTTGACTAGGCATTAAAGTTGGCTGCACGCAATCCACGCTGCGATAGTCAAGGTCATTTGAACTTCTATGAATAACAACAAACAGGGGCTGAGCCCCCACATAACCACAGTTTCATTGAAAGGGAACCATAACCTCTCCTCCTAAATTCATAAAAGAAGGCTCAAAGCCCAGCATACGAAGGAATAATTACGAGTTTGGTTTTGCGATGATAAATTAATAGTGTCTCAGCATCTTGGGACTGCCCATGTGATCCTGCAAAAAAATCTAAAACCAGAAAATGAACAAACAAAGAAAATGAATGAAGGCCAATCCAAAAAAACCAGATTGAAGCAGACATACATTCCTCCCAAATTGAGCACCACTGGTGTCTCTAACTTTGTGCTATTTCCACTGTTCTAGCCATCCGGGCTTGCCAGAAGCCTTGGATTTGCATCCACTTTCCCATGTTCTCATCGGTATTTCAAGAAACACAGGTCCCTGCATGTAATACCTCAGACAAGATGTCAAACATATATAGCATTTTCGTAGTGAAATATATATATATCCACAAATCTCTTTCCTACAAACAAATTGAAAGAAGCTTAAGAAAAATGAAATGAAGGACAGGGATTGGGACGGTCGGAAAGGAGTAAGATACAAAATCCTACCTCCCCATGGGTTCACATTTTCCATGACATATCAAAATAAACAACAATGTGAAGTCTGAACCATACAATTTAAGGGCAATAACATTGTTTTCATTTGTGTCTCTGCATGGACCGTGGTAGCTCTGATTATCACCCAAAGCTACTTTCCGTGATTAAAGGGCTCTTGGCGACCATGTCCTACGACAAACATGTGAAGAACATGCTAAATGCTAGTCAGAAAGCATAGGGCTTAGCTGCCAGGACAATTATAATGTTATATAGACTGGCTATGAGTAGATTTAAAAATCAATTATCATTTTAAGCTCAGAACTCGAACATTCTTCTTTTTATATTTTTGTTTGCGCAAGTTCCAAATGAGCAGATTTAGCTTTACCAACCTTTAAAAGATGAATATATTTTTAAGACCATACGCAGTCTAACTTCAACGTTTAGAGTAATGAAGAGTTAGAAATTAGGCTAAACATGTAAGAAATGCCAAAAGCATATTAGACAACCAATTTTCATTTTCAGCTGTTTTCCATGCTTCTTCATTAAAAGAAGAGCTTCATATCATATGTACTCATCTTATCTAGGTTTGACGGAACGCTAGACAACCAACCATGCATTGTCAAAAAGTTAGACAACCAATTATATATCATCTAAAGCTGAACCAATTACATCTCTACATCTCATTGTGTCATGGTTCAATCGTCTTCCACAGTTTATACTTGAGGAATCAACTTCAGAAGCATCATACATGATCAAGTGTATTCATAACTGGAGGCCGGTTTCAATGGTTGAGTCATCCCATCAATCATGCTCAATTGCCTTCTCAACTTAATAATATGAGCTTGCACCTGTCACAGTGTACACATTGTTAAATGATGCTTGACAGTGTCTGGGAAGTTCTCGTGTGTAAATAACAAGCTTGCAAGACAGAGCATAAAAGCCATGAGAAATGACTGATAAACAAGTTGTTTAGTTTGTACAAACACAATTCAATCAAGCATGCAAAACGAAGCATTAAAACCATAACATGTTTGACAAAGGTTATCCAAAAGGTATACTTAATAAGGAGAAGCTTATGGAATAAATTTGTATTAAGTCCACATCCAAACAAAGATAGTCTGGTTATAGGGTGTAACTTAACACTTAGCAAATCATGTCAATGATAAAATTCAACTGGAAGTATGAAAGAAACAGGTCATGTTATAGCAGGATTTCTAAATAAGAACATAGCACATCTACTCACAATTAGCAGAGACTCCAAAGAGTTCAACAAAGTTAATTGTCTAAGCAGAAAACAACCAATCCATTCTTACCTGCTGACGAGCTGCTGCAAGTTTCAGGAGTTCATCTGCCTCTGAAAAGTTCAAGAACCACTGACTGAGTGGATGATCTTTGGTATCACCTCTTCCCCTTTCATTTATATTTTCAACTGGTACTGCAGAATAATGAGCATGCTTAACCTCACAGAAACTGTAGTCAGTAAAAGTTCAAAACAGAGCTAAGCAAGAAAATTTACCAGGAGCAGGCAAGTTAAAATCTGTAGGCAGCCGGGGAACAACAACAGCTGGATGATTTTGCACACGGGCAAAGAAACCCTCAGAAGGTTCAGGAAAAACAATCTCATTGTAAGACTCCACAACAACAGGCTTCTTGGTCGACTGAGGACCAGATTCATCTTCTGGATACAGCTTCAGATGGTGGTACCTGACAGAAGTTAAATTGTCATCCTAATCAAGCTACCTCATCTAGTGAATCAAGGCAGCAACCAAATCAAATAAACAACTTACAAATCCAACTGCTTCTCACAGACATCACTGTGGAAGAAAAGGCTAATTCCAATGTCAAATTCACCCCAACCGCACTCTGACAACTCAAAAGGAGGTGATTCAACCACTCTTGTAGGATTATTGAAACTGGGATGCAGTTGAAACACAACTTTCTTTATCACCACTCCAAGATCCTCATTGGTTGCCCCTCGTACATAGACAGTCCACTTATGCGACTGCGACCTAATTGGCGGTGAGGATTTCATTCAATCATTAGTCACAACACAAGAAAAGAGGGGAAAAAAAACACATAAATGTACAGAAAAACAAACATACTCGCTAGCCTTTCGACCAAGATAGAAAGCAATTGTTCCACACACTATTGGAACACAAATTTCTACATCCTTAAGTCTCCTGTTTGAAGCCTACAAAATATTCAGAAAACAAAATGCATAATGTAATTTGCAAATGATTAGCACCTTACCTTGAATCATAACTAAACAAAGTTCAAGACTTTCCATCTCCTGTTTTCAATAGTAAGAGGGTACAATTAAGAGGAAAAAGGCTAATCTTTTGAGGACTTAAAATGCCGAAACGCCCATCTTATTTAATCAGTACAAAATTCTACGGATGTTATTCGTTTTCTGCTTAAGAGTGCCTGAAGCCCATGAGTATGACAATCCCCAAAAGCATCAAATGACTATATAGAACCCAAAAGCAAAAGCTGAAGGAAACAGAGCGTTGACGCTACAGAACGAGGTAAAGGCCGTACCTTTTTGTCACCATCGTCGG